TTGAACATATCTCATTAGCTGACTGTGGAGCATCGGACTCGTGTAATAAATCGAAAATACCGAGATCACAAGCTGCGAACAGCGCTTTGGATTCACGAAAAGCGTAAATCAGTTCTTGAAGTTTAGTAGGGATTGCTGGAGGAACTACGATCTCTTTTCTACCTTCCATAGCCAGATTCTTTGGCCTCGCCACAATTATTACTCTCGGTTACTTAGTAAACAACGTGCATAATTCTAATAGGTACTTAGACGTTATTGAATATTCCACCAAACAAAAGACTGAATCTGCATAGGAGGCCTCACACAACTAAAAACGCACGCAGATTTAGACGTCTAACTTTGTTTATTCTCACAAAGTAACGTAAACTCAACATTGCTTTATTGCTTTGTTCTTTTGTTGCTTATAACAATATAAATTTAGGTTCCTTCAAAGGCTTCTCGGTTGACTGCGCTTCTCAATAACACCCGAAGTCTTGGCAAAACTTTTAGAAAGTCCTTACATTAGGCGAAACCGCCCCGCTGTCGAACATGGTTAAAAGATGCGAATTTTATTTCACGAGTAGAGTGACAGTAGAGCTGCATATAAATTTGAAAACATTGCATCGGAAAAAACGAAGCGGTCTGATAGGCTGATTTTGGATGTTAACTTTCTTAGCTGTCAATCACGTGCTCAGTGACCTTGCCTTTCAATGGCAGCGAGGTGACCTTTGTGTTGAATTTGATACAGACCTCACTTCTTTTGTTATGTAAATCAACAATCAAGGTGTTCTAATGCTAACTAGTTCGCATTTAAATGAGAAAGGCATAGAGGTTTGTACTAAAACAAGGTCACCTCCAGCCTCCCTTGCATTCACAGGCCAGGGGCCCGTTTATCGAAGGTCCCGAAAAGTTTTCGCACCCGGAAAGCCATAGCAAAACTTCAAACCTTACGATTACAGAGCTGTTTTATTTACATATCCTTAATATGACCAGAAGTTCCCTTCATACAAGAAGTTTCAGGGGTATACATTTCTCCGGTTTTGATACAGATTGATTAAAAATGGCTTTGCAGGCCCGAAACGTTTCCGGGGCTTTCGAGAAACAGGCCCCAGGTAACTGAGATGGCCCATCATGTATTTTGAAGTAGTCGTGGTAGTGCAAAGTAGCAGTTTTTCGTCGTGGTTTCGCTTCGCTTGCCCGCCTGTGGAGGAAGCAGCCTCGAACACATTCTTACACACACTTTAATAAGAAAATTGATACAATTGTTAACTGATCCGCTCGTAGCGTTCGGCTAATCTAGGTGGACGAAGTTATTATAAGATTTAAAATAATATACAAGCAACAATTTCTGTATCAGCTGATTGGCTAAGAACAGGTCAATCAATCACAAATCAGTGTAATTTCATCAGTGCAGAAAAGTTAAATTGAGTGCAATAGGGTGAGACGGGTCACTACAAAACGTGGACTCCTCCATCTGGACCCACTACTGGACCCCTCTTGGACCCCTTCTGGGCCCCATCTGGACCCCCTATTTTTCTTCCAGAAAATATGGGCTCCTGATTTAAATAATGAAACTTAGAACATACCACAATGAAGTCTATTTAATCAGTGAGCAAAATGTGAAGAAATTAATGGATTCACCCAGCGTTATGTCTAGAATCGCAAAGCGACGATTGCGTCATCATCTCTTTCACTCAAAAGTATCGCTGACCTATTTTTCCTCGAGCGTGTAAAGAAGAAAATGTAGGTGAGTGTTTTCCAGATTTGTTTCTTATATCAGTGACGCGCAATCTGGTTTATTCTGAACCATCGCTACACAATCATGACAAAATCTTAAAAACTAAATAAAAACCACAAAAACCACAATTATTAACATTTTTACGAAGAGCATGTTACGAACCCAAATAACGTTTGTTCAGCAAATTTCATGGAAATACTGGCTCGTAACATTTTGTACAATTTTGAAATATCTGTTCTGGTATTATCCACCAAATAATTCATTACGTCTCTCATTATTCTTTGATTATAATACAGCTTCATAATATATATATCAATATATATGCTCAAGTCATACTCTGTGTCAACGTCATAATTTTTGGATTCTAATTTTTTTCTGCTTATTCACCACCATGAACCTATCTTACCTTGGTTGGTAATTTTATAACAATTTTATTATTTATTTACGCTGAAACTGGTTAACGTATAAATCTGAAGAGCCCCCATTTTCAAGGTCGAAGAAAGTTGGTTATTGGTCAAGGTTAAGAGACGACGAGGTAGTTGTAGCGCTGCGTGAATTTGTTCATTCACATTTTTCCTGCACTTCACGGATTAAGTAGACTTCACCATGGTACAATTTAAATCGGGAGCCCATGTTTTCATGAAGAAAAAAAGAAAAAAAGGGGTCCAGAAGGGGTCCAGAGGGGGGTTTAGAATGGGGTCCAGAAGGGGTCCAAAAGAGGGTCCAGAGAGAGGGTTCCAGGTTTTGTACTGACCCGGGTGAAACTGATAATTATTGAGAGCTTGGACAAAACTGAACTCGGACATACAAGATGGCAGACACAAACTACCTAGACGAAGATTGAAACCTTATATCTAAATTTTAATGCAAAGACTTCATAACAAAGCAGAGT